ATTATCACCACCCTCACCATCATCACCACCATCACCATCATTACCATCAGTCATCATCACCATCATCATCATGATATGCACCATCATCACCATCATTACCACCACCATCACTGTCATCTCTGTCACCACCATCATCACCATCAGCAGCAGCAGCATTATTACCATCATCATCACCAATTTCACTATCATCACCCTCATCATCATCACCATCATCACCCCATCACCATCACTGTCACCAGCATCATATTCACCACCATCAGCACCATCACCATCATCACCATCACTGTCACCATCATCATATTCACCTCCTGACATCATTAGTCATCATCACCATCACCACCATCAGACATTGTCATCATCACTGTCATCACCACCCCATCACCATCACTGTCATCTCTGTCACCACCATCATCACCATCATTGTCACCAATACCACTATCATCACCCTCACCATCATCACCACCATCACCATCACTGTCACCAACATCATCATATTCACCACCATTAGCACCATCACCATCATCACCATCACTGTCATCATTACCATCAGTCATCATCACCATCACCACCATCAGACATTATCATCATCATCCACATCATCACCACCATCAGTGTCATCATCATCACCAACACCATCATCGCTATCACCATCAGTGCCACCATCATCATCATATTCACCTCCATCAGTCATCATCACCATCATCACCATCAGTCATCATCACCATCACCATCACTGTCATCTCTGTCACCACCATCATCACCAATACCACTCTCATCACCCTCATCATCATCACCATCACTGTCACCATCATCATCATATTCACCTCCATCAGTCATCATCACCATCACCACCATCAGACATTGTCATCATCACTGTCATCACCATCATCATTATTACCATCATCACCAACACCACTATCATCATCCTCATCATCATCACCATCATTGTCAATCACCATCACCGTCATCACTATCATCACCATCACTGTCACCATCATCCTATTCACCACCATCAGGCTTGTCACCATCAATCATCACTACCCTCACCATCATCCTCTTCTGTATTGTGGGAAATGCCCAGAGGGGCTAACATCTGGGCAGCAGGCCTGATGAATAGAAAGTGTATCTACTGGGAAGAGGAATCAGCATGAGGGGAAAGGCCACGTGGCCTTGCTGAGACAGGCAGGAGGCCTTTGGTGAGGCCATATCAAAAACCATCCTAGTCTGTAGTCCCAGCATTTTGGGAGGCCAAGGCGGGAGGATCCATTGAGCCCAGGAGTTTGAAACCAGCCTGGGCAACATGGTAAAACCTTGTCTCTGAAAAACAAAAACAAACAAACAAAAAAAACACGCACACAAAGAAAAAATTAGCTGGGCTCAGTGACATGCACCTGTAATCCCAGCTACTTGGGAGGCTGAGGTAGGAGGGTCACCTGAGCCTGGGGAGGTTAAGGCTGCAGAGAGCCGTGATCGTACAACTGCACTCCAGGCTGGGCAACAGAGTGAGTCTCTGTCTCAAAGGCAAACAAACAAGCACAACACCGTAAATCCCATCCGCAAAGGTGCCAGTAGCTGGCAAGTCTACAGCCACTGCTGTGAGGACTCCGTCTGCATGGTCACTTTCCCACCTCTCTAACTTCTCATTGCCATTAGCAGGAACTTCCTTGAACAAACCCACCAGGGGTTCATGCTCAGAGAAGCCGGAAGGGGGATCGCTGGGGTTTCTACACCTGTGTAGCCAGACTTGGGGAAACAGAAACAGCCACCCAGGACTGGCTAGAGAACTGAGTCCTGGGGCAAGTGAGAGGAGGCCAGGAGCAGTGCCCTGAGGCTGAGAAGTGGGTGCCTGCTGGGGCATGCGTGCTCCCCGTCTGCACACACACACCCTGCTGGGGCATGCGTGCTCCCCGTCTGCATGCACACCCTGCTGGGGCATGCGTGCTCCCCGTCTGCACACACCCTGCTGGGGCATGCGTGCTCCCCGTCTGCACACACACCGACTTTGCACTGTAAGGACAAATGGGATGCTAGTGGGCTCTGAGTCTCAAAGACCAGGACATAAGGGAAACACAAAATGTCACGTGGGGGAGGTGAAAGGTTTGTCTGTCAATGATCAATTAGGAGAACCACCATTGAGGGCTTACCATTTGCCAGGCTTAGTGCCAAGTGCTTTATGGAATCATGTCCTTTATCTTTCAAAGTAACCCTGTGAGGCAGGTTTTAACACCCCCATTGTACAGGTGAGCAAACTGAGGCTCAGAGAGGTGAATGACAGCTGGTAAGTGACAAAGGTCCAGGATTTGAACTCCAAGCATAAGCTCTTAACCACAAGCGTAGTCCAACTTCTCACACTTCATGGTACTCTGTGCTGGACAGAACTATGTGTGTTTGGGGCCTTTCCCCATCGCAGTTGTATTAGTCCGTTGGCCTACCTGAGACTGGGCAATTTACCAAAGAAAGAGGTTTAATGGACTTACAGTTCCACGTGGCTGGGGAAGCCTCACAACCACGGTGGAAGACAAGGAGGAGCAAGTCACATCTTACGTGGATGGCAGCAGGAAAAGAGGGAGCTTGTGCAGGGAAATTCCCCCCATAGAACCATTGGCTCTCATGAGACTTACTCACTATCACGAGAACAGCACGGGAAAGACCTGCCCCCGTGATTCAATGACCTCCCACCGGGTTCCTCCCACAACAGGTGGGAGTGCAAGACAAGATTTGGGTGGGGACACAGCCGCACCATTTCGTAGCCATCCCGTGTACACACATCATCTTTTTTCCTTCTCCTTTCAGATAAGTCAGAGACAACAGATAAGATTCTAAATAGAAAAACACTATTTTGTCAAAAATAAGAAAACAAACAACAGATACTTCACTGAAGATATACAAATGGCAAACAAGCCAATGAAAAGATGCCCAACATGATATGTAATTAGGGAATTGCAAATTAAAACAAGATACTACTACACACCTATTAGAACAGCCCAGATTCGAAACACTGACATCACCAAATGCTGGTGACACTGACATCACCACATGCTGGTGAGGATGTGCGGCAACAGGAACCCCCAAAACACTGCAAAACAGCACAGCCAACCCGGGCAGCACAGTGGGACTCTGTATCTATGAAAAATAAAAACATGTTTAGCCAGGCGTGAGGGCACATGCCCACAGTCCCAGCTCCTCGGGAGGCTGAGATGGGAGGATGGCTTGAGCCCTGGACCTCAAGGCAGCAGGGAGCCGGGACAGCACAACCACACTCAGCTCCAGCCTGGGTGACAGAGCAAGACTCCGTTACAAAAAAAAAAAAAAAAAACCAGTACAGCCACTTGGGAAGGTATTTTGTTACAAAGTTGACTATACTCTTACCGAAAGATCCAGCAAGCACGTTCCTTGGTATATGCAAATGAACTGACCATTTATGCAAATGCATGACTGTTTATGTAAATGAACTGACCGTTTATGCAAATGAACAGTTATCTCTGTTCAAGAACCGGCACCCTCATGTTTACTAAATATTTACACATAGTTGCAAAAACCTGGAAGCAACCAAGATGTCCTTCATCAGGTGAATAAACAAGGTGAATAAACAAAATATGGTACCATATATTCATACGATGAAACATAATTCAGCGATTAAAAAAAAATGAGCTAGTAAGGTTGGGCAGGATGGCTCATGCCTGTAACCCCAGCATTTTAGGAGGCCGACGTGGAAGGATTACTTGAGGCTAGGAATTCAAGACCAGCCTGGGCATAATAGCGAAATCCCGTCTCCACAAAAAAAAAAAATTATTTAATTTAATTAATTAAAAGAAAAATGGGCCGGGCGCGGTGGCTCAAGCCTGTAATCCCAGCACTTTGGGAGGCCGAGACGGGTGGATCACGAGGTCAGGAGATCGAGACCATCCTGGCTAACACGGTGAAACCCCATCTCTACTAAAAAATACAAAAAACTAGCCAGGCGAGGTGGCGGCGCCTGTAGTCCCAGCTACTCGGGAGGCTGAGGCAGGAGAATGGTGTGAACCCGGGAGGCAGAGCTTGCAGTGAGCTGAGATCCGGCCACTGCACTCCAGCCTGGGCCACAGAGCGAGACTCCGTCTCAAAAAAAAAAAAAAAAAGAAAGAAAAAGAAAAATGAGGCTACTCTGGGCACACTGTCTATAGGGTAACCCTTCCCTGTAAGAAGGAGTTAAAAAAGAAAAAAAAAAAGAGCTGGCAAGCCACAGACAGACATGGAGGAATCTTAAATGCATGCTGCTAAGAGAAGGAAACCAGACTGAAAGGGCTACTTACGGCACGGTTCCAACTACGTCTATTACATTCTGAAAAATGCCAAACTATGGAGACAACAAAAAGACCAGGGATTTGGGGGTGGAACGGGAAGAACGAGGAAATGGATTGCAGGGGATTTGGAAGGCAGTGAAGTTATTATTCTCTACACATGTCTTTACACATTTTTTGAAGCGATAGAACCTACACCTCCAAGGTAGAACCCTAAGTGTACACTAATCAATGTATCAGTATTACCACGTTTATTGTAACAAATGTACCACACCAAAGCAAGATGTTAATCATGGGAAATTGAAAGAGGTAAAAGGTTAGACGGGATGGCCGGGCGCGGTGGCTCAAGCCTGTAATCCCAGCACTTTGGGAGGCCGAGACGGGCGGATCACAAGGTCAGGAGATTGAGACCATCCTGGCTAACACGGTGAAACCCTGTCTCTACTAAAAAATACAAAAAACTAGCCGGGCGAGGTGGCGGGCGCCTGTAGTTCCAGCTACTCGGGAGGCTGAGGCAGGAGAATGGCGGGAACCCGGGAGGCGGAGCTTGCAGTGAGCTGAGATCCGGCCACAGCACTCCAGCCTGGGCGACAGAGCGAGACTCCGCCTCAAAAAAAAAAAAAAAAAAAAAAAAAAGGTTAGACGGGAACTCTGTACTTCTTGTTCAATTTTTTTCTGTAATCCTAACACTGTTCAAAAAAACAAAAAAGTGCTATCAAATGCAATGAAAAAAATTTAAATTTTCTTCTTCATAGAGAAAAAAAACACCACATCCATCATCATCAATGGGGAAGAATCTTGCCATGCCACTAATATTACCTTTGGGTGTCACACCGTCCCGAACGCTTTTGTGTGGATTAACCACAGGAGCTCGTCATCCCTGTTTGCCAAAGGAGGAAGGCACAGTACGTCCATGCCTGTGTTCCCATCCCCACCACGCAGCCCTCCCTTGGGACTGCACAACGTTGAAAGGTCAACAAATACTGGGCCCCAATTCTTATTCTTCATCACAGGCATCACAGCTGGAATCTGTGTTTATTTCTTGGTTTACGTGTCAGTCTCTGGAAGGTGCATGGGGAGAAGGGTCACCTCCATTGTGCTGCCTCCAAAGAACCAGAGCGTAGTGCACGGTGCACGAGATGAATCCCGAATGACTCGGACAGTGGCTCCAATAAATGCTGGGGCCATGCAAAGAACACCGGGAGCAAAGAGAAGGCGCAGGGAAGATCTTGCTCTGTGGCAGTCCCGGGGGGCTTCAAAGAGAAGAACGTGGTGCAGGGCTCAGAGGGAAAAGGAGGGACTTGGCAGGCAGAAGGCGGCATTCCAGGGAGAGAACTGTCCTCCCAGAAGTGCCAGAAAGGAAGAGGAAACTCACTCAGGGAACGAGGGTAGCTGGGCGGGAGGGAAACTGGTCTGGGCAGGTTAGTGACTGCCCTGAGGTCACAGCTCGCTGGCACCCTCTTGGGCAGAGCTAGGAGTGCTGAAGCCGTAGAAATAGCCAAGTGCACTTTGAGCTTTCACTGAAGTCAGGCTGAAAAGAGAGGACAGTGAACAGACCCTCCCCTTCCCCACGTCACCCACATTTCCCAACATCCAGGGACCAGGAGCGTGCCCAGAAATCACCAGCCCAAACTCAAAACGGCTTTAAGGTTAAATTCACGTTCTATCCCACCATATATTGATGATTTTTAAAATTAAAATGACTGGGCACAGTGGACCACGCCTGTAATCCCAACCCTTTAGGAGGCCAAAGTGGGAGGACTGCTTGAGGCCAGGAGTTCGAGACCAACCTGGGCAATGTAGCAAGACCCCATCTGTATAAAAAACTTTTTAATAAAAATAAATGTTAAAAATGTACTGATTAATTAATTCAATTTAATGAGAATAATGCTTCTTCTCCACCCTAAGAGATATTCCTTCCAAAAACGTCTTCCAGTAAAATCGAGTCCAGGATTCTGCAACTCTGGTTTTATATAGTAATAGCAGCAGTAGCTGACATTTCTATAACACCTTGCCTATATCATCACTCACAATCTCCCCTGCAATCCCAGCGAGTGCCCTCAGCACCCCGATATTACAGATGTGCCCAGCACACTGCAGGGACAGCCCACATCCACACACACGAGCACAGAGGCCAATTAGCTTCCTCCAAGTTAAACAGCGTGTCCACAGCCTCACTACTGCAGACACGGCCTTCTTTTCAGAGGCGCAAGTTTGCAATTGGACTCTACAGCTCACCAGCGGTTTACTTTGGGGCTTGTTACACGTCCCTCCACTCCATTTCTTCCTCTGTACGACAGCAGTAATAAATAATGCATTTCTCAACAGGTTTTGTCCATAGTGAATTGTGGTAACCGAGTAAAAGTTCCAGGCTGGGTGCGGTGGCTCACGCCTGTAATCCTAGCGCTTCAGGAGGCTGAGGCGGGCGGATCACAAGATTGAGACCAGCCTGGCCAACATAATGAAACCCCATCTCTACTAAAAATACAAAAATTATCCAGGCATGGTGGCTCACGCCTGTAATCCCAGCACTTTGGGAGGCCGAGGTGGGCGGATCATGAGGTCAAGGGATCGAGACCATCCTGGCCAACATGGTGAAACCCCATGTCTACTAAAAATACAAAAATTAGCTGGGCGTGGTGATGTGTGCCTGTAATCCCAGCTCCTGAGGAGGCTGAGGCAGGGGAATCACTTAAACCCAGAAGGCGGAGGTTGTAGTGAGCTGAGTTCGCGTCACTGCACTCCAGCCTGGTGACATAGCGAGACCCCATCTCAAAAAAACAACAACAAAAAAAAAGTTCCAAACACAGTATCTGGTGTGTAGCAGGCCCTCACAAAACAAAACAAAACAAAACAAAACAAAACAAACCTGTTTTTTAAACCAAGCTGGCCCCTGAATGCTGGTGAACTTCTCCACACTCAAAGGATGAAATGGGAGCTTAAAACAACGGCAGACCCTGATGATGAATGAAATCCTGGCCTGGGGCCGTCAGCCAAGGGCATCTGGGCCAAACCAGAGGGCAGGAAACAGCGGACTTCCTCCTCCCACATGAACTCTGGCCCAGAGGGAGCTTCCTTCAGCCGACCGCACCCACTTCCCCCAGAACATTCCAGAACATTCCAGAACATTCCACAACACTCCGTGCTAGGCCAGGAGGCTCCAGGAAGAGGTCACTGAGTAGCTCTTACCATCTCCTCCCAGCCCAGCCAGGAGAAGCTGCCCCTCCCGTCCAGGACTCCATGCACAACTTCTGACCTGCCCATCACCCACAGCCTCCCCACAGAGGGCCAGGGCTCAGCTCGTCCACCTCCGACCCGCCTCACTCCAGCGCCTCTAGGCTGCCCTCCAAGCCAGTACGGGATGGCCTGGGTGGCTGGGCGGCTTGACTTTGGCTATGGCCCTAGTCGGCTTCTGAAACCCTCTCTACTTGGGCCCCTGACTAGTTATCTGCCTTCAGTCCTGGTAAAACGAGACTCTTCAAGGACCGTCAAGAAACACTCCCCTCCTCAAGCACCCTCAATGGCTCCCACTGCCTCCTGAAAAGTTCAGAGGCCACACCCTGAGACTGATGGTCCTCCACAATACAGTCCCACCCTACCCTCCGTTCCCTGCGGGACTCGCCCGCTGCAGCCAAAATAGACCACACCAAGAATCGTGCCCACATTTCTGGACCTGTAAGTACAGACTCACCCTCCATCTCCACCTAGCTGGGTTTCACTCCTCCCGCACCCCACCCGTCTCTTCCATGATCCTTTCTTTTTCTCATCTCTGAATTCCTCCAGCACACAATTTCCAAAGTGCGGGCATCCACGTGCCACCTGCCATCCCCGTGCGGCTCCCGTACTATTCTTTACTTAATATTTCCCTTTAAATCAACCCACTCCTTTACTTGAACAAATTTATCTTCAAAGGAAACTTCGTATCTCCACCATAAATAGAAAAACCATCCCATATGCCATAAATAGAAGGCAACTGAAAAAAAACAAGTTATGTTCTAATACACATAAAAATAAATCAACAGGAAAACACTGAAATGCTTGTCTGTGTGCCTGACGAGGTAAACCTATATATAGGTTGTAAATGGAACAGCACCTCGAGGGGCAAGGGTCCCGGAACCCCTGCGTATGGGTTTGGGGAGTGCTCAGTCCTGACAGTTGCTCCTGACCAAGTCCGCTGGCCACACGGCCTTCTATAGTCTTCAAAACCCCTCCTGCTCTAAGACACGTGGCCTTGGCATCTTATTTTTTTGCTTTCTTTGGGGCCCTTAGGTGTTTTGGCCCCATCTCACAGTTATCTGGGGACTTGTCACCGAAGGTGAGTATCCCAGGGGAGGGAGCGCAGAGCCTGCAGCCCCTGGGCCGGTCCTGCCCACAGCATAACACGCAACACAAGCAGTATGTTCCAGTCTGCTCAGCTGCGTGGCCCCCATTCTCTGCCTGACCCCAGGCCCATCTGCTGCTAGCACACAACCCCGCCGCCCCGCACCCCAAATCCATCTCTGTCCACTGGGGTGTTTCAAAGGACTACAGGAAAGAGCACTGGAGGCACCAGCGGGGCACGAAGCCTGTTCTCCAGCCCCGGCTGCCTCTCGAGGACCTGGGACAGCCTAGAAAAGCGAGTTTCCAGTCAACGATTAACCAGACGCTCTCCCAGCGCAGACACAAACCTTTTCCCCGGAAGTTAGCAAAGTTCTGGGAGAATCCCTGCGTGCACCCCAGGAAAACGGAGGCGTCTTCTGATGTTTCAACGCTCCAGGGGGAGCCATGAGACCCAGAACCTACCGGGAATGGAGGGGCTTCACCCAGACAAGGCCCCGCACAGGGGAGGAGGAGGCCGCTCTCCCTCCCACCGCCGCTGTCAGGGGAGACCCGCGGCGTCCAGATGAGGAGCTGAATCACTGGGACTTAAGTCAATAAGTGGCAGCCACCAGGCAGGCCCAGCTGGAGCCAAACCAAGGCCTGGATTCTCCTCGTGGACGCAAGCCAGGCAAGGCCCCACCACGTCTCCCAGTCACAGAGTCCAAAACTGAGCAGACTTGGGACGCTTCCTCTTAGACCGCAGCCCTCTGTGGGAATGTTCGTCTGGCCACTTTTACACACTTCAAGCATTTTTTTTTTTTTGGTTAGAAAGGGCACATTTTCTGAAAAGGCATCCAATACAGTCCTTACAGCCGTGGGGTGGGGACGGGGCGTCAGCATCCCATCGCTTCCCGAAGCCCCGGCTGCCTGGACCGGGCCCCTTCTGGGGGCGGCTGTTCGGGAGGAAGGCAAACTGAAGCACAGACAACCTGACAGACGTGCAAACGGAGCAGCTTCCCGGAGGTGCCTCCAGGAGGACAAGGGTAATGAAATGAACCCTGGCACAGCGAGGGAGCGTTTGCAGCCTGACGTCCTCCTGCAGAGAGGAGGAGGATGGCAAGGAGCTCTTTGTTGACCTTTTCATGGTGCCAACAAGCTACTGATGGAAAAAAGAAAATGTTTTGATGCTTAAAAAAAACAAAACAAAACATCAGCAACGTATCCCCATGGGAGCAGCAGCAGGTGCTGCCGAGAGACAGACAGACAGAGGGATATAATCGCCAAGAGGCTCTCAAACTGGGATCCACGGAGCCAGGGGTGCCGGGTACCTCTTCAGGACTGTGCAGGTAGAAGCAGGGGGCTGGGAACAAGGGGGCTATTACAGCTCAACTCAGAGCAACTCAGCTTTTTCTTCTTCATCTATCGGGCTTCCAGGTAGGATTTCATTTGAAGAAAAGATCCTGCAGTAAAAAAGTTGAGAAGTGGCCGGGCGCGGTGGCTCAAGCCTGTAATCCCAGCACTTTGGGAGGCCGAGACGGGCGGATCACGAGGTCAGGAGATCCAGACCATCCTGGCTAACACGGTGAAACCCCGTCTCTACTAAAAAATACAAAAAAACTAGCCGGGCGAGGTGGCGGACGCCTGTAGTCCCAGCTACTCGGGAGGCTGAGGCAGGAGAATGGCATGAACCCGGGAGGCGGAGCTTGCAGTGAGCTGAGATCCGGCCACTGCACTCCAGCCTGGGCGACAGAGCGAGACTCCGTCTCAAAAAAAAAAAAAAAAAAAAAAAAAAGTTGAGAAGCGCTGATATGTGCTTCTGGTTATATGAAAGGGTGGAAGGAGGCCGGTGCAGTGGCTCACACCTGTAACCCCAGCTACTCAGGAGGCTGAGGCGGGCGGATCACCTGAGGTCAGGAGTTTGAGACCAGCCTGGCCAACATGGTGAAACCCCATCTCTACTAAACACACAAAAATTAGCCGGGCGTGGTGGCAATGGTGTAGCCCCAGCCATTCAGGAGGCTGAGGTGGGAGAGGGGCTTGAGCCCAGGAGTTTGAGGCTGCTGTGAGCCATGATCTAGCCACCGTACTCCAGCCTCGGTGACAGAGTGAGACCTTGTCTTAAATTTTAAAAAATAAAATAAAATTCATAGGGAGGCCAGGCACAATGGCTCACGACTGTAACCCTAGCACCTTGGGAGGCCGAGGCTTAGCCAGGCATGGTCCTGGGCCCCTGTCGTCCCAGCTACTCAGGAGGCTTCATGAAGCAGGAGAATCTCTTGAACCCAGGAGGTGGAGCTTGCAGTGAGCCAAGATCGTGCCATTGCACTCCAGCCTGGGCGACACAGAGAGAGAGTCCGTATCAAAAAAAGAGAAGGGAAGGGAAGGGAAGGGGAGGGGAGGGGAGGGGAGGGGAGGGGGGGAGGGGGGGAGGGGAGGGGAGGGAGGGGAGGGGAGGGGAGGGGGGAGGGGAGGGAGGGGAGGGGAGGGGAGGGAGGGAGGGAAGGGAAGGGGGAGGGAGGGGAGGGGAGGGGAGGGGGGAGGGGAGGGAGGGAGGGGAGGAGAGGGGGGGGAGGGGAGGGGAGGGAAGGGAAGGGAAGGGAAGGGAAGGGAAGGGAAGGGAAGGGAAGGGAGGGAGGGAGGGGAGGAGAGGGGAGGGGGGAGGGGAGGGAGGGGAGGGGAGGGAAGGGAAGGGAAGGGAAAGCGTGGAATGTGCTAGCAGCCGTCTCTGAGTGAGCGGGACCCCACACACACCCAGGCAATCAGCTGGTCTCCGTCCTGCACGTGTGCCGTGTGTGCAGCAGAGATGCCTCCTTTGCCAGGGCCCGGCCTGGTCACTCTGTTCTTCCCCTGGCAGGACCACAGGCCGGGAGGACCAAGTTCAGAAACGCAAGTGACACCAAATCAAGCAGATGCCTGAGCCAAGTCAAGTTTCTGGAAAAGAGACTTGAACCCAGCAGGGACAGGGGCTCGATGCAGATGTCAGGGCCAGACGTGCAGATCCAGAGACCAGAGGCCAGAGACACGGGAGGACTGTGTCGGCGACCGGAGCTGATCTCGGTCGGTCCCTGGGGCGGGCACGGCCGCGAGAGGCTGGTTTCCACGTGTGTCCAGAGGTTGCTTCACGGAAACGCCAGCTCTGCTGAAGGTCCAGGGGGCACCAGTCACGAAGGTGTGACGAGCCCTGAGTGTTTGTCCTCTGCATAGCTGAGAACGGCGACCACACCACACACATGCTAACAGGTGCCCGACGTCCTCACAGGAGACCGCACACCACACATACTAACAGGTGCCCGACGTCCTCACAGGAGACCGCACACCACACATACTAACAGGTGCGCCCGACGTCCTCACAGGAGACCGCACACCACACATACTAACAGGTGCGCCCGACGTCCTCACAGGAGACCGCACACCACACATGCTAACAGGTGCGCCCGACGTCCTCACAGGAGACCGCACGCCACACATACTAACAGGTGCCCGACGTCCTCACAGGAGACCGCACACCACACATACTAACAGGTGCGCCCTCACTAACCCGAGGGCGGTGTGTGCATCCGTAGCACCTGCCCATCCGGCACCATCCTCTGACCCAGGGACTGCGAACAACAGGGCCCCGTGGCCATGACATGTCCTCACCCTCCAGGTAAAATCTCGCCAGTTGAGTCTGCACGTGAAAGTAGGTGCTGAATTGCCTAATAAATCCACACGTGAGAGGTGCAAGAAGGAGCCAAAAAGGGCTGAGCTGAATGACTCATATATGAAATAATGTGATCATTAATATAAATAGGAAATTTAAAGTCCTCAGCTGAGTGACAGAAAACACCTTAAAAAGCTCAACAGAAATGAAGAAAATAAACCTATAATTGCAAAATCAAAGCATTACAAGAAGGTGTGCTCAAGATAACATGCTACAGATGTGATCGATTCATATTTTAACATTAGAAATGCGTGGGGCATGGTGTTCCCTGGACAACCGGCTGCATGAAGGCTTTCTGGAGGGCAGGGCCAGGCCAGCGGGAAGGCAGCTGGCACAGCTGGGGCTGGTGTGGGGTCCTGGGGCCAGGGCCTGCCGGACGGCAGTCCCCAAGGACCAACAGGCGTGGGAGAGGCAGGATATAAACCGAGCTGGGGAGTAAAGGCTGTGCATTCTCACGGGGCATTGCCTCCACCACCCCCGGGCCACAACTTGGGCCTGCCCGGTTTCCCTAGCTCTTCTTTCTCCTGCCCTGCCTACCCGAGGCCCCTCTCACCCTGCACTCCACTCATCTCTGCTTCTCCCCAACCTGCCCAGCTGGTCTGCTGTGTGGAGCTCCTGCAGCCGCCTCAGATCCACCCTTCCTGGGTGGCCGCTCCTCCCCACCACTGCCCTAGGGGCACCTCAAGCAAAATCTGGTTCTTCTCCCCTCCAGGTCTGCCTCTGCCTTTGCTCCTGCTATCCCCAGGGCCCCAGGCGCCCCTCCCTCCACCTCATCCTTCCGGACCCAGCAAATGTCCTCCACCGGGAGGCCTTTCTTGACCTCCCTACCCTCCTGGAAGGAACCTCTCCCAGCCCAAACTCCCATAACTAGTTGCCTGTCCCTTTGCTTCCTGCTGAGCTTAGGCTGTATTTGTTCATGTACTTATCTTCTACTGGACTCCTCTCTGTATCCTTTTTATTCTTTCATTCATTCATTCCACAAATACTAATTGAGCGCCTCCTATGTGCTAGAGCCCACGCTAGGACTGGGGACGCAGTGATGAGCAAGACAGACACTGTCCCTGCCGTCCTGGAACTCCCATCTCGGAGAGAAAACAAAACACGAAGCAAATAAACACCAGCAAATACGTCAGGACAAGCGGCGATATCGGCTGGGATAGAAGGTGGAGGTGATGGAGAGGCGAGCGTCAGTGCAGACGGAGGAGGTGGGGGAGGAGACTCAGAAAGCGACGTTCGACTGGGGCCAGAGGGGTGAGCAGTGCGAGTCGGGCAGCTCTCCAGGCACATAATTGGTGGTTGCTGAACATGTGTGGAACAAATGAGCAGCTAACAAGCCAGAAATTCCGAGCGTGTGCCCCGTGTCGCTCCAGACACAACTTCCCCACCCGTGTCACCCCGATGGGTCCCTCCGACTGGCAACCAGGGGCATTTTCCAGCCCTCACGCCTCCTACGGGGCCCACCCGTGTCACCCGTGTCACCCGCGCAGAGGCACTCGCCAGGACTTGAGAGGATCTCCGCTCAGAACCCCTCACAGCCTCCCTGACATCACCAGCAGCCCTCGAGCTGCAGAGCAAGCGGGTTTTGTCTCCCTGCAGACTCCAGCCCCGGAGCGCCAGGCACAGACGCCCAGCGAGGCCGCCTCTGCGCTCGGGGGGAACAGCCCTGACGGATCGGTGGTGTCCGCCAGGCGACGGCAGAACACACAGAGGCACATTGGCCACGTATTTTCCTTGTCACCCAGGGCCCCACAAATGACCACTCAGGCAAGAAACCTCCTTCAGGTCTAATTGCCTGGACGAGCATCCGCATCTGCCGCCCTTTCCTCAGGGGCCACCTGAACCAGGTCACTGATTTCTTTTTTCCTGCCTCGACTGCTCATTAGCTCAGAGCTAAATGTGTGGCTCAAATACAGCAAACTGTATACAGCTCGATGGCCCGAATAGGGGGTCTCACGCTCCCCCTGGCTTCAACCTTCTAGATAATCTACATCTATGTCTTTCCTGATCTTATTTTTATGATTTCTATTTAGTTACAGGTACATAAACATACACACATATATGTATAGACATATGTAAACAGACATACACACATATATCAATATAAAATATCTACGTATAGGTCCGGTATGTAATACCTACCTTTTGTCTATGAATATATCTTTTTTTTAAAAAAAAATAGAGACAGGGTCTCACTATGTTGCCCAGGCTTGGCTCAAACTCCTGGACTCAAGCAATCCACCTGCCGGGGCCTCCCCAAGCACTGGGATTACAGGCATGAAACACCGTGCCCAGCCATTAACATGTCTTTTTATATTTATTTCTTATGTTTCTTCTCCCTTTTTTTTTTTTTTCAGAGACAGGGTCTCACTATGTTGCCTACGCTGGTCTTGAACTCCTGGGCTCAGGCAATCCTCTTGCCTCCGCTTCCCAGAGTGCTGGGATTACAGGCATGGGCCACCACACCCAGCCTTTATATTTCTTATATACGTACAATATAGAGAGAGTTGTAAATATATTCTTGTAAGTACCCTCAATTCTTTTACAGAACAAGATAGAGAAATAAATGAATAGACAGAGAGATGACAGACATGAAATACCAGGGAAGAATAAGACAGCCTTTGCTGAGAGAATTCAGAATACAGTTAGCTGCACCCTGTCGTGAACAGAGTATGGAATTAGAGATCAGAAGCCAGACTCGCAGTCCCAGCTCGCACCAGCGACGTGACTGTGAAGGGAAACAAGTTAAACACACACAGCCCCGCAAGTCCTTACCCCGGCCAGTCTGAGGTTTTATCAACTCTTACATGTCTATCACCTAATCTGCGCTGCTCACTTCCCCTGGTGGTAACAGAAATTACACGGGAGGTTCCTGACTGTGCCGTCAACACCAGCTTCATGCAGGACGCTGGCGTCATTATTAGTATTGGAGACGACACTCCAGGCAGCCCGCGTTCGACCGTAAACAATAAGACACCAAACGGCACGGCCTCCTACTAAATGCTGCGGGAATTCAGAGAGAGAGGAGCCCTCAGAACCCACATCTGCATTCAGAGCGTCCTGCCCCTCTGACGTCTGAGAGCAGCGTCTGCCTGAAGGACTTCCGTCCCGTGCTTCTCCTAGCACGACAGCAAGCCCCAGCCAGGATCAGTGCGACCCTCAGGACTGGAAACGGCTGCCCTGGTATGGAGCAAAGGGCTGGGGCTCTGACAGCCCCCGCGGTCCCCTGACCACACTGTCCTCTGCAGAAAGGCCAGCACAGCACACATCGCCCGTGGGCCAGGTGAAAGAGGACAGGCCAAGGCTGGAAACCTGGGGCCCTGGGGCAGCTGACCCCTGCGTGTGCCTCCCACATGGCCTCCCGGACCGCACCCCTGCGTGTGCCTCCCGCACGGCCTCCCGGACCGCACCCCTGCGTGTGCCTCCCGCACGGCCTCCCGGACCGCACCCCTGCGTGTGCCTCCCGCATGGCCTCCCGGACCTCACCCTGCGTGTGCCTCCCGCGTGCCTCCCGACCTCACCCCTGCGTGTGCCTCCCGCGTGGCCTCCCGGACCTCACCCTGCGTGTGCCTCCCGCGTCGCGTGTGCCTCCCGCATGGCCTCCCGGACCTCACCCCTGCGTGTGCCTCCCGCGTGGCCTCCCGGACCTCACCCCTGCGTGTGCCTCCCGCGTGGCCTCCCGGACCTCACCCCTGCGTGTGCCTCCCGCGTGGCCTCCCGGACCTCACCCCTGCGTGTGCCTCCCGCGTGGCCTCCCGGACCTCACCCCTGCGTGTGCCTCCCGCGTGGCCTCCTGGGCCTCCCGGACCTCACCCCTGCATGTGCCTCCCGCGCGGCCTCACAGACCGCACCCCTGCGTGTGCCTCCCGCGTGGCCTCCCGGACCTCACCCCTGCGTGTGCCTCCCGCGTGGCCTCCCGGACCTCACCCCTGCGTGTGCCTCCCGCGTGGCCTCCCGGACCTCACCCCTGCGTGTGCCTCCCGCACGGCCTCCCAGGCTCTCCTGTGCCCCATCACAGGCCCAGGTACAGTCACCAGGGTTTCCAGGCACCTGAATCCGCACCACTGGGCTTTACATCGCAGGAGAAAATGAGACAATGACAACAAGGATCCTTTTCAGCACGTTTGTCAGGCGGGCACGGACCGTCCTTTCTTTTCTGGGGGAGGTGACAGAATTCACCAAGGTAGTAAGATTAACTCTAAATTCTGGAACGTTCCCTGCCCAGCCACGTGCTGAAAGTGAGGGCAAAAAAAAGGAGGGGTGATACACAGTTGAAGGGCTGTTTGCAAATCAGTTCCAGTGACCAAATAGGGTCTCCTGTGGCTGATTCCTAGAGGCGGCCGGATCCCAGGCAGCAGGTTATCCGAAGAAAGTGGGAAGGGACTTTGAACACAGGCAACCTCGCCACCCACCAACGCCGTCCCTGTAGCTGTCCAGCCACCGTCAGGGGTGGGCTCTGGAAGCCCTGAGTTTACCCTGCAGCCAGGCCCCTGGGGCCCAGCTGGCTCTTCCAGGGGAGTGCCTAAGCCAAACTGGCACATCAAGGTCCCTCCCTTAAGAATCTGGGAAACAAGGCTGGGCACGGTGGCTCACTCCTGTAATCACAACACTTTGGGAGGCCGAGGCAGGAAGATTGCTTGGAGGCCAGGAGTTCAAGACCAGCCTGGGCAACATAGTGAAACCCCATTTCTACAAAAAAATAAACGTAGGTCAGGTGTGGTGGCTCACGCCTGCAATCCCAGTGCTTTGGGAGGCTGAGGTGAGAGGATCTTATGAGTCCAGGAGTTCGAGGCTGCAGCAAGCTATGATCACACCACTGCACTCCAGCCTGCGCAACGGAGCGAGACTCTGTCTCTAAAAATTAAAAAATAAGATTAAACTGATTTTTAAAAACTTAAGGCCAGGAGAAGTGGCTCACATCTGTGACCCTAGCACTTTGGGAGGCTGAGCTGGGAGGATCCCTCGAGCTCAGGACTTCAAGATGAGCCTGGGCAACACAGTGAGACACGCTAGCGCCTTGTCTACTAAAAAATTTTTAAATAACCGGGTGTGGTGGTGCACGCCTGTAGTCCCAGCTTCTCTGGAGACTGAAGTAGGAGGATCACTTTAGCCTGGGAGGTCGAAGCTGCAAGGAGTCTCATAGATCTCATAGATTGAGAGAGAGGGAGATTCACTCATAGATAGATAGATGATAGATAGATAGACAGATAGATAGACAGATAGA